ATCAGCTGCACAGTGGTAACGGATATGACTTTGGGAAGTTTAGCATTCGTCACACAGCCAGATTTTTTTTTTCCTCCCCACCAAGATGAATACGGTGTTCCCATGCTATTTGCGGGGATCACGACTGAGCTATTCCGTGAATAGCGAAAACACAAAGGAGTATTTTCACCTCACTAACCCTGAAAAGGTTTCTATATTTCCTTTATGTGCCACAAGATGGCACCAAAGCAATGTTTTTAATATTTCTGTCATGAGATGTGAACGAGTGCGGAGACTTCACGAACGGAGGCTGCGAGCAATTGTGCGAGAATCACCCCGGAGCCTTCAACTGTACCTGCAGGGAGGGCTATCGTGTTCAAAGCGATGATCACGCCAAGTGCCGGCGTGAGTCAAACGTCACATCTACCAGCACAGTGCGGTCCGGTTTTCCTGTTGTCGGCGTGACACGAGGCATTGTTGTCTTGTGTCTTTCCAGCTGTGTGCGACCCCCCTTGTCAGAACTACGGAGTGTGTGTGGCGCCCAACAGCTGCGACTGTCCTGCGGGATACCCTGGCCTTGGCTGCTCAGGTTGCTGTCTGTACTTACTGATGTAATTTTTACTGTTTATCAAAGGGTGAGAAAACGTGAGCGCATGGGCCGTATTTTTTATTTATTAGTTTTTTTTTAAAGGCCAGGTCATTCGTAAATGAGGTAAAACAGAAAAAGAGTTTTATGCCAAAACATGCCCAATTCAAATTAAACTGCAGTATCAAACTCACCACCAGAGGGTGCTGGAACCGCACAAATGGAAACGGATGTGCTGTTTTTCAATATTCCGACATGACAACGACCTTGTGACAATGTTAAAAGGCGATATTGCCGTTATCGTTACATCCCTACGCAATAATAAAATATGTAAATTGAAGACGACGAATTGAAAAGCCAACATCCATCCATGCAAGAGGCACACCAATCACAAGGCACGTTGTCGATTTCGAGGAAAACTCAAGGATTGTAAGTTTGCCTTCTGGTCTGAAAAATACGGTACTCGCTGGACACCTAACTATTGAAATCCAATACAAAACAATCAGAAATTTTGCCTTTGTATAGCCCAATTTTGGT